CACCTCAACGACGGCAGTGTCGACATGATTGACAACGCTTTCCTCGCTTGCCTTGCTTCCTCACGACCTAAGCTGAAAGCTCTTCACGTGGGTCGCAGGATCACACCGACGAATTGTGGAGGAAGCAAGGATGAGCACCCAGTTACTGAAGCCGGTCTGGAGAATCTCTTTTCGAACTGCACTCAGCTGGAGGAAATTACACTTCACTGCCTCCATAAAGACACCAAGTTACCGGATTCGTTCTTCCAGCTGCAGCATCTCCACACAGTTTCTATAACCAACGTTTCAGCCTTGACATTTCCCAGATTTACAAGACTTTCTTCACTCCCATCCGTTCATGTTACTGTCTCCAAATTGACACATTAGCAGTTGTCAAGCCTCTCTTGCATTGCAATACTCTCTCAATTCTCGATTTTCAGTGAAACCTACCTTCCCAAGAATGATCCACCAGCTGCAATCTTCCCATTAACTCAGCTACCTCATCTCAAGTCATTTGAGTTCCAGATTTCCAATCTCAGCTTCACTTCAATGTTTGCCACAGGATCACTGTGCAATCGCCTGGAACAGTTGATGATCACCAACTCCAACCTCCAGCGCCTTCCAGATGACATCGAAGAGATTTTGCCGTGTCTCCGTCAGCTGACTCTTCGTGATTGTTGTCAGCTCCACCGATTCCCCGATAATATTATAGCCTTAACGGGATTGGAGTGCTTGTCCATCTTTAAGTGTGGCTGGCCTTTCAGCCTTTCCGAGGACTTTGGACAGCTGCCTGCGCTCAAGTCACTGATGTTGGAGAGAGTGCGTCTCCGGGAGTTGCCTGACTCCCTATGCCAAGTTACATCTTTGGAGAAGCTGTTCCTGCTTGAATGCTATTGGATGCACCATCTTCCAACAGGTTTTTGCAGCCTCACATCTCTCAAGACACTCAAGTTACGAAGCAGTTTGATGGTGCTCCCAGAGAGGATTGGATGGCTCAATAACCTCGAGTCTCTTCACCTGCATCGATGCACAGAGCAGGTGCTCTTCCCTTCATTTGCGCAGCTGATTATTCTAAAGAGTCTTGAGCTTGGCAAGTGCGCATTTACGGTGCTTCCCGAGGGTCTGAACGATTTGAGTAGCCTGCAGCATCTCAACATTCATGAGTGTGATGCGCTCAGGGAGATACCAGATTCCATTACAGAGCTCACTAACCTTGTAACCCTGGTTATTGAAGATTGCCAGCAGCTCACTTTGCTGCCAAGAAGGCTAACTAGCCTCGTAGAGTTGAAGTGATTGAAGCTAACAAGGTGCAGACATCTGTCAGGGTTTCCCACGTCGCTGCCACTCTCCCTTGAGATTCAGTCTTGGTACAGAAACAGTCGGGCTGATTCACTGCCGCCTTGTCTGAGGCAGTTGGAGCTGGGGTTGGCAGACAACGTCCATGAGTTGCCGATCTTCCTGGAATCTGTTTCTCTGCTCCACCTCTTGAGTATCTCTGATGCTGAGTTGATCCAGACACTCCCACGAAGCATCGGTTCGGCTTTGCAGCAGCTGCGCGATTTGCGATTACACGACCTCGAAGAGCTTAGGGAACTGCCAGAAACTTTCTCACAGCTCCAACACCTGACAGCGTTAGAGGTGGTTGCACCCAAGCTGACATCTGTCCCCGATAGCATCGGTGCATGATCCAGGTTGCAGGAGCTGGATTTGTCTGGATGAAAGGCCTTGCAGCTACTACCGTCTTCGTTCACACAGCTTCGCTGCCTCTGCACGCTTAAAATTGAGAGAACTTCCATCACGCAGATGACTGGGCTGAGGTGGCTCAGCCTGTTTGGCTGTGAGCGAGTGAGGGCCTTGCCAGATGATTTGATAGAGCTGAAGGTGTTGCAACACTTGAATGTGAAAGGGTGCAAGCAAGCGATCGATGGCATGTCCCGTGCACTGCGCTGTGGTCTCCGGGACATGCATGGGCTGACCTTTATTAAATACTAGCACGACATCAATGTAGTGTTTGTGGTGATCATATTTCAATGGTTGATTGTAGCCATGTTTCCTGCTGTTAGTCCTTTTGCAGTTTCTTGTATATGATACCGGGCCTATGTAGAGTGATTTTGTATTATAAGCTGTTATAAGTTCAGATCAGATGCTCATACATGTCAGATGATCCCAGGTGGTCGTTCTGTTATTACCAGTCCCTGCAGTCAGGCCCTACACATTCTGAGTGTAGATGCCCGAGTGAACTTCCTAATCACTGGCAAGCACTGATGCATCCACGCCGCCCAGCCGTGCTACCTGTCATCCAAGCTCCCATCCCATTCTGCTCCATGCTTTCCTTCCATCCGCTTGGGGTTTCATCGCGTTCCTGCCTAGTGTTATCTTATTTTAAGTTCAATATCAGCCTTTAAAAAAAGGGAACACTGATGCATCAGACTTTTTTTGAAGGTAACACTGAATTTTCAGGCTTTTTTTTTGGGGGACACTGACGATCAGGGATTCTACACAGAGGGACCCTGATGCATTAACGTGCCTAAAAGTGAATCATGTGAGAAGATTGACAAAAGAATGAGTATACTAGAAAATAAGATGGGTACAAATAGGAAACACATAAGTGTTGTACCCTCTAAGAGCTACCCCACTACAGCCTAAATAGACCATAGCAGATATAAGTTTGACACACCCCCATAGGCAAAGTGGGGGAGAACAAGAGGTCACAAGACCAGTCAAGAAAAGCAAAGCAAGCTCAGGGTGGATCACAAAGTCACCACACAGTCTGAGCACAAGCAAAGGGCCATAAGGCCAATTCACATGCAGAGTTATATAAAGGAAAGCAAACAGTACAGTGAACACAACCTAGCAAGTGTAAGCATGCAGGTATAAGTATATAGAGTACAGTACAAGCAGAGTCAAGAAGTCAACAAGTGAGGCACAGTAGGTACAAGGCCTAACACAGTACAGAAACGCTGATGATCACAAGGCTGAAGTGCCTTGGTGAAAACATCAGCAGTGTTGGCCTGAGAGGCCACGTAAGCAAGACGAAGCTGGCCACGCTGCTGCAACTCTCGAGCAAGGAAGTAGCGCAGACCAATGTGCTTCGTTCTGTGCTCCAGTCTGTGCTCTTGACACAAGGCCAGCATGGCCTTGTTGTCGACGTACAGAACTGGAGGAGAACGAGGCGCCTCTCCCAAGTCGATCAGCAGGTAGGTGAGCCAGCAAAGCTCCTGTGCAGCCATGGCCCCAGCGTAGATCTCAGCCTCACAACTGGAGCTGAGAACAGAAGAAGAGCGGGTAGACCGCCAGGAGACAGAACCGGAGCCAAGGCTGAAGGTGTAACCCTGTGACGACCGCTGCGTAGCCAAGTCGTCAACCCAGGAGGCGTCAGCGTGACCAGTGAGGACAACTCAACCCGTCCTCCAAGCACGAGCCCCATGCCCGATGTACTGCACAAGTATCGCAACACCCTCTTCGCAGCATCCCAGTGCACCTTTCGGTGCCTGCCGGGAGCCACGTAGCGAGCCAAAAGGCTGAGAGGGTATGCGAGGTCAGGTCGTGTGCAAGTCATCAGGTACATGAGGCAGCCCACAAGCTCTGGATACGGGCCACTCGGCTCTACGGACTCGTCCGAAGGTGGAGCTGAGAGCGAGTGACCGGTAGGCAGAGGAGTGGACTGTGGCGAGGAGTAGGTGAAGCCGAAGCGCTGAAGGACCTGCTGCACCATGTGTGACTGAGTCAAGGTAATGGTGCGCTGTGCTCTGTCCCGGGTGATCCGCAAGCCAAGATAGCTTGTCAGCTCACCCAGGTCTGTGCACGTGTGTCTCTTCTGCAGCTCGGACTTCACGTGGACGAGTGCCTCCGTGTCAGCGGTAGCAAAGACAAGGTCGTCTACGTACACAAGAACGTAGAACGGCGGCAGAGTAGCGTCAGTGCGTAGAAACAGAGAAGGGTCAGCAGTGGAAGGAGCAAAACCAAGAGCAGCAAGAGTCGTCCTGAGCGTGTCGTGCCACTCACGGGGCGCCTGGCGGAGACCGTAGACTGGCCGCCGGAGGCTCCACTGGGTACCAGCAGGAAACGACCCAGTGAAGCCAGGTGGGCGGCGCAGCCAGATCTCCTCATGCAGGCTGCCCTGTAGGAAGGCTGTGCTGAAGTCAAGCGAATGGAGCTCGTAGTCACGCTGAGCAGCAACGTGCAGCAGTACCCGAAGAGTGGTCATCTTCGGGGTAGGGGAGAAGGTCTGAAAGAAGTCAACTCCCTGTCGCTGACTGAAGCCACGTGCAACGTAACGCGCCTTGAAGGCAGGCGGAGAACCCGGCGGCCGCTTCACCCTGAAGATCCACATGCCACTGACGATGTTCGCCCCAAGTGGGGGAACCTCGTCTACGTAGGTGCCTGTGGACTTCCAGGAAGCCATCTCTGCGTCCATGGCTGCCTGCCACTGAGAGGAGTAGGGACCCTCTATCGCCTCTGCGTAAGAGCGCGGGGTCGGGATGTCTGGTGCATCCGGGTCTCCCTCAGGGGCAAGCAGCATGGACACGAGATGAGGTGAAGCAGCGGCAAAGCACTCAAGGTCCTCCTGTCTGTCCTCAAGAACGTCCGTGCCAAGAGCACACTCACCCCCGACGGACGGAGGACAGACAGACGCAGACGCAGCAACAAGACTAGTGGCGTAATCTAGGCGACAGGCTGCAGCAAAGTCAACAAGCTCAGCAACAAGAGCAGACGCTGCAGAGGACTCAAACAGAGGGTCAGTGACAGCAGTGGCCAGAAAGCGCGTGACAGTAGGACTAGCAGCACGAAGGGAGTCAGACTCCGGGTCCGGACCGTCAGGAAGAGAGGACGCAGGAGAAGAGGGCAGAGGGACACGCTGTGAAGAAGTAGAAGGACGCAGTGTCATAGAGTGAGTGCCTGGGACAGGTGGAAGACGTGGACGCGAAACACGACCAGCGCGAACAGTGCGGACAGGCGACGCAGAACGAGACGCAGGCGACACAGGACGCGACTCAGGCTCACGACACTCCGTAAGACCTCTAGTCGGACCAGAGTAAGGAGAAGGACCAGGCAGGGGAGGGGCCGGCTGCAACTGCGACTGAGACTGGATAGGCGGTGGACTCAAGAAAGGAGGAGGAAGACCAGGAGAAGGCGGGGCGCCAAGAACCTGCTGAAGGAGGGGAACGTAGTACGGCCGCGGCCGCGCAGCGCCTCGAGAAACAGCAGAGACAGAACCGGTACCCTCAGCCATAGGGTCTCCAGTCCCAGCAGCACCTCCAGCAGCTCCAGCACCAGCACCAGCAGCACCTCCAGCAGCTCCAGCACCAGCAGTAGCTCCAGTAGCAGCTCCAGCTCCTACAGCACCAGCAGCACCTCCAGCAGCTCCAGCACCAGCAGCACCTCCAGTAGCTCCAGCACCAGCACCACCTCCAGCAGCGCCAGCACCTCCAGTAGCTCCAGGAGCACCTTCAGCACCTACAGCACCAGTAGCACCTCCAGCAGCTCCAGCACCAGCAGCACCTCCAGCAGCTCCAGCACCAGCACCACCTCCAGCAGCGCCAGCACCTCCAGTAGCTCCTGTCGCACCTCTAGCACCTCCAGCAGCTCCAGCACCAGCAGCACCTCGACAGCGCCGAGAGTACCACTCACGAAGCCGCTGTGGAGAGAGGGGCTCCCGCCGCGACGGGACACCCAGAGCACCTCCAGACTCAGCACCCCCAGTCTCAGCACCCCCAGTCTCAGCACCCCCAGGCTCAGCACCCCTAGCAGCACCTGAGTCGACAGCTACCTCGACCGGCTCGGCAGGGTCTACCTGGGACACACCTGAGGGGGCAGGACCCTGGGGGGGGGAGGGGGTCTACCAGGGGAGTACCTGGTGCAAGGAAGAGCGGCGGGGGGGGGGGAGAGGCAGTGCGGTAGGGAAAGAGACGGTAGTACGACACCGACTCGTCGAACGTGACGTCCTGAGAGGACAGAACACGACGCGAGGTGGGGTGGTAGAACTGCCACCCGGGCGCGTCAGGAGGGAAGCCACGGAAGACACAGGGAACGGCACGGGAGGACAGCTTGTCCGCAGTAGTATCGCGGACAAAAGCTCGAGATCCCTAGACACGGAACGCGGACGCATCGCCAACCTTCCCCGTCCACCGCAGAGTAGGTGTGGTCTCCGGCAAGGAGACACGAGGCTGAAGGTTGATCTGATGCGCAGCGTACTGAACTGCGAACGGCCACAGAAAATGGGGAGCAGCCGCATGGATCATGGACGTACGAGCGACGTCCATGACCATGCCAATGCGGCGCTCAGCAATCCCATTTTGCTGCGGGGAGGCCGGAAGCGTGAACGTCTGGCGGATGCCCTCCGAACGACAGAAGGCCCTCAGGAGGTCGGAGGAAAACTCCCCGCCTCTGTCCGAGTGCAGGCGTAGAACAGGAAGGTCTGAGCCGAAACTCTCACTGAGCTGGCGACGAGCACCGCGGATCCAGTCGATCAACACCTCAGTGACCTCACCCTTGCTGCGCAAGGGGAAGGCTGTGGTGTAACGCGAGTAGTCGTCAACGACCAGGAGGAAGTAGCGCTCGTGACCCTGTCCACGGACGCGGGCTGGGCCCCACACGTCCATGTGAAGAGTCTGCAGAGGGGCCTCAGTCGGAGGAAACGAGGAGGAGTGAGGGGCGGCGCGCTGCCGGCCCTCGACACAAGGAACACAGGTGGGGGCAGGCCCCGGAGGAAGGGAAGGGAGGGACCTGGGTAGAACCGAGACAAGGGCACAGGAGGCCATACCTCGAAGACGAGGCAGGGAGGGGTGACCAAGGCGGTGGTGTCAAAGGAGAGTCTCGTGTGCCAAAGGACGACACGAGCAGGGGGCAGACGCAGGACTAGACCTGGACGCGGCAGCAAACACCTGACTGGACGCAGCTACCTGACCAGACGCAGAGACCGGAGGAGGCGCAGTAGTCAGTGTGTACAGACTCGACCCTGGCCGACGGGTGAACGTGGCCACGTGACGGCCCGTCCGAGAGCAAGTGCAGTGGGTCACACGCTGACCTCCAGGGGTGAACTGGTCAACCCACGCGTCCTGGAGGTCAGCTCCACTCACCAGGTTCGTAGAGAACGAGGGGAGGTGGAGTCCCGACAGCAAGCCCGACGGGGCCGCAGGACACGGTAGGACAGTGGAGGAGTGTGCAAGTACTGGGCCCCCTGAGGGGTCAGCAAGGGAGACCGCAACAGGCCGACGGAGCGGCGTGAGCATGGTGCTGTCTCTAAAGAAAGAGCGCGAAGCACCAGAGTCAAGTATGAAGGTGTGCAAGGACTCAGTAGGTGCAGTACCTGAGAGAGGAGACGTACCAGCACCTGGAGCAGCAGACGCACTAGCACCTAGAGCAGCAGCCACAGTGCCCGGGTCGGGCGGGACACGCAGGTAACAGTCACCCTCAGTAATATCAGCAAGAGCATACATGGCAGCAAGGATAGCATCAAAGTCTAGATCAAAGATAGGCACATTCTGCAGAAGCAGATCATGCCAACGAGGAAGCTTAACAGCGTCAGGAAACTGGGACCTGCACCCCCAGACCTCCCACGCCCAGCGTACCACTCACAAAGCTGCTGAACAGACGGGGTCTCACGGGTGCGCAGCTGCTGCTGACGCCGGCCGCCACCAAGGCCTCCACGCTGCGTGGCTGCACTGCGACCAGCACCACCTCCTCCGCTACCTCCACCACCGCTGCCGCCGCCTCCACCGCCTCCTCCACCGCCTCCACGGCCTCCACTGCCGCCACCGACGCCCCCACCCCCGGGACCACCCCCACCACCACCTCCACCTCCTCCACCGCTTCCTCCACCGCCCCCTCCACCACCCTTGCTTCCCTTGCCCTTGCCAGTGCGGCGTCGCCCACTAGGGGCAGACGCAGCGCCGACCTCCTCAGTGCCAACGAGGTCGACAGCAGCAGCAGAGGCAACAGAGGGGAGAAGGGGGACAGGGGAACACCCCTCAAAGAAGGGGGTGCGACGGTCGCCGCGAGAAGCCCCAACAGCTAAGATACTCTTCTCAGCTGCAGCAAGGCGCTCCTCTAGCAAGTCGACAGTCAGCTCGGTAGGGCAAAGGGAGAGAAAGTGATCCCTGACTGAGGAGAGAGAGTCAGGGAGGCGGGTGACTAGGTAGTAAAGGGTGATGTACATGGGGGGGGAGTTCTTGGCACAGAACTCAGTGGGAAGGGCAGCGCGGTAGCAAGCGTCACTAGTGTGAAGGTGAGAAACTAGGTCAGCGACAGTGGCAAAGGCGGCAAGGTCAGGAAAAAGGTACGGCAGCATGAGGCGGCTGAGGGCAGCAGTGGTAGGGGAGGAGTAGCGTGCAACTACAGCGTCGTACAGAGCCCTAGCACTCTTGTACTGACTAAAGTGCGCGCGCTCAGTAGACGGCAGGTGATTGCGCACAGCAAGACGAGCAGCAGCATCGCGCGTGAGCCACTGCGAGCGAACAGTACTGTCAGCATCAGCAGTAGGGGCAGTAGAGGCGCCAGACGTGAGATCAAACAGTGAGAGACCATCCTTGCTATCGCACTGTAGGAAAAGCTGCAGATCATCTAGCCAGACCTCAAAGTCAACAGCTCGACCCTCAGCATCAAAGGTAAGAACATTGAGACTAGCCATGACAGGAGAAGCAGCAGGCTAGCAGCAGCAGCAGTGCAACTCGGCTAAGCAGGCTAGGCAGGGCAGCGCAGCTCGGCAGGGCGGTGTGGCTCGGCAGCGCGGCGCTCTTACCAGGGGAGAGGCTGGGGCAGGGCCGGGGTAGGGCCGGGGCAGTTCAGGAGCAGGGCCGGGGCAGGGCCGGGGCAGTTCAGGAGCAGGGCCGGGGCAGGGCCGGTGCAGGGCCGGGGCAGAGCCGGGGCAGGGCCGGGGCAGGGCCGGGGCAGAGCCGGGCCAGGGCTGGGGCAGTTCAGGGGCAGGGCCGGGGCAGGGCCGGGGCAGTTCAGGAGCAGGGCCGGGGCAGAGCCGGGGCAGAGCCGGGCCAGGGCCGGGGCAGTTCAGGGGTAGGGCCGGGGCAGTTCAGGAGCAGGGCCGGGGCAGTTCAGGAGCAGGGCCGGGGCAGTTCAGGAGCAGGGCCGGGGCAGGGCCGGGGGAGGGCCTGGGCAGAGCCGGGGCAGGGCCGGGGCAGGGCCGGGGCAGAGCCGGGCCAGGGCCGGGGGAGTTCAGGGGCAGGGCCGGGGTAGGGCCGGGGCAGTTCAGAAGCAGGGCCGGGGCAGGGCCGGGGCAGAGTGCAGGGCCGGGGCAGGGCCGGGGCAGGGCCTGGGCAGGGCCGGGGCAGGGTCGGAGCAGGGCCGGGACAGGGCCGGGGCGAGGCCGCGACAGGTCCGGGGCAGGGCCGGGGCCGGGCCGCGACAGGTCCGGGGCAGGGCCGGGGCCGGGCCGCGGCAGTGCAGGAGCAGGGCCGGGGCAGAGCTGCGACAGGGCTGCAGCAGGGCCGGCGCAGGGCCTGACGGGGCCGTACGGGGCCTCTAACGGGGCCTTACGGGGCCTCTAACGGGGCCGTACGGGGCCTAACGGGGCCTTAAACGGGGCCTGACGGGGCCTTACGGGGCCTTAAACGGGGCCTGACGGGGCCTTACGGGGCCTTACGGGGCCTTAAACGGGGCCGTAAACGAGGCCTTACGGGGCCTGACGGGGTTTTACGGGGTATTACGGGGCCTTACGGGGCCGTACGGGGCCGTAAATGGGGCCTTACGGGGCCTTACGGGGCCTTACGGGGCCTTAAACGGGGCCGTAAATGGGGCCTTACGGGGCCTTACTGGGCCTTACGGGGCCTTACAGGGCCTTACGGGGCATTAACAGGGGCCGTAAACGGGGCCTTACGGGGCCTAACAGGGCCTTACGGGGCCGTAAACGGGGCCTTAAGGGGCCTTCCGGGGCCTTACGGGGCCGGAAAAGGGGGGCCTTACGGGGCGGGCGCTGGCTCTAAGGGCAGGCGCAGGGGCCGCGACGGGCCTCGAAGGGAAGGCACGACGCGCGCGTCGAGCAGGCAGTGACGAATTTCAGTGGTGGGCCCTTTTTAAAAATTCTCGAAACTAGCTCTATACCATGTGAGAAGATTGACAAAAGAATGAGCAAACTAGAAAATGAGATGGGTACAAATAGGAAACACATAAGTGTTGTACCCTCTAAGAGCTACCCCACTACAGCCTAAATAGACCATAGCAGATATAAGTTTGACAAATCATAGGCCCTGCCTGCAGTTATTTTCTTGCTGAGAATAAGGATGAATCACAGCAGGAGCAGAGCAACAGTTTGCTGAGAACAGGAGGAGAGGAATGGCTGCAATGGCTCCGTTCGCCTAAGATATCCGCTGGTGGAAAGCACCCTGGTGCTCTTTGTCTCCCTTTTCTCCTCGATTCTAGTGTTGCCCCTACACTTGCCCCACTAGTCCTCTCCCCATTTAGCTGTATTTTTTCGCTTTCCCACATTCCTTCCCCTGCTTCACCATGTCCACTCGTGTCGGTTCACAACACAAATCGCAGATGACCTATCATACTGATTAGAGCAGTTGGGCCTCTTCAGCCCATGTGAGACGATCAGACCAGCGCCTCTCAATTTTCCGGACCCTTCTGTACCCCTCCTAACTTCTCAGCCCCTCTGTGCCTCTCTCAACCCCTTTGTTTCCAGTGCTCTATTCAACGGCACCAATGTTGACAACGGCCAAGGACCCTCCCACTTAGTCCTGCTGGCTTCTGTTCATACCCCACAAAACCCAAAAATCTTAAACAGAACTCTGAAACCTGACTCTTACCCCTTCCTCCCCGCTCCCCCCCTTCCTGTTCCTTCCGTTTCAGTCACTCTCTTCAATGGCACCCATACAAATGGCCTCTCCTGGTGTGCTGGTGAGTGGGTGAGCGGTGTGAGGTGGGTGAGTGGGGGTGAGAGGGATGTGTGGGATGAGAGGGGTGTGAGGGCGAGTGGGGTGAATAGGCTGTTTGGGTGAGTGGGGTGAATAGGCTCTTTGGGTGAGTGGGGTGAATAGGCTCTTTGGGTGAGTGGTGTGTGGGGTGTGAGGTGTGGGGTGTGGGCCTGCCCTGATTTTGAGGTGCCCCAACGCGGACCCTGCACAGCTTGTTCAGGGAGGTCCGAATACCCCTGAATACTTCCCGCTTTGGCCTCCAGAGAGCTCCGTGGAGCTGATGAGGTGAGGCTAACCTCCGATGGAGGAGAGTGGAGTGGCGTGGAGTGGGGTCGAGTGGAGTGGAGTGGAGTGGAGTGGAGTGGAGTGGGGTGGGATGGAGTGGAGTGGGGTGGACTGGGGTGGGGTGGAGTTGAGTGGGGTAGAGTGGAGTGGGGTGCAGTGGAGGGGGGTGGAGCGAATGCTCATTCCTTTTGCATGCTCAATCCCCTCTTGCAGCTTCCCCGTGTCTTACTTACCCCCGAAATTTCTGCTCCTTTCTCTCAGGTTGCACGGGTGGCATGTTTATATAACTGGGACCTCATACCCATTTCTCCACCTCTCTCCCACTCTGCCACTTTCTATCTCCCTTCTTTCTTTCTTGCAGTAACCAGAGCACTCGGTTTCCACAACTGGCAGAGCATGAGAGGGAGGTGGCAGCACTGCCCTGCCTGATTTTCACCCTTTCAATCCCCCCCACCCCCCTCCAGCCTATCCCACTTTCTCCAACTGTTCCACTTTCATCTCCTCCTTTGCTCTTTTCTCCTGCTAATTGTACCAAGAGCAACAAGCTTACTCAACTGGGACCTGGCAGTGTTGCCCTGCCTGCCTTTCAACCCTTCAACCCCCCCGCACCCCCCCCCCCCCATTATCTTCCACTTTTTCCCAGTGCTCAGGGCAGAGCAGCCGCCCTGCCCCAACTGGAACCTGGCAGCGTCACCCTGCCGGCACAACAGACTGGCGTTCAGAGGCCCTCTCCCCCCTCTGCCTTCCTCTCTCCTGGTGTCTTTCCCTCTCCCACACTCTCTCCTTCGCGCAGTTCCCAGGGCAGCCGCCCTGCCCCAACTGGGACCTGGCAGCGTCACCCTGCCTGTGAAGCCACCAGCCAGCGAATGTGGAGATGCTGCTGGTGGAGAGAGCGGACGAGGTGGTGAGTGGTGAGGGGGAGAAAAAACAGTGTAGATTATAGATGTGCAAATAAGCCAACTATGTCCTTGGTATTTCTCAACTCATCTCAGCTCTTTCCTTGGTCATTCTCGGTTACGCTCGTACCATACTCTTTCAAGCGCAGCTTCACTTCACGTTCCAAATTATCCATTTTCCATATATACTCCTCCTAACATTCATCCTAACGCTACCCCGTACTCTCTTCCTCCCTGGTCTGCTCCTTGTTTCCGTACCCCCAAGCGACAACATGAGAGTGCGACCGTTCCATCCCGCCTCAATCCCCTCTCCCTCTCACCTCTCCACCACCACCACAAATATCTCAGCTGCCGCCTCACCACTTCAATTCCTTCATAGCCAGCCCCCTTAGGTTGCGCTCCGTGCTCTTCTACAGGAGGAATCACAGTGCTTGCAACAGGTGGGGTTACAGCAGGCAGTCGCCAAAGGGGGTATGGCGGCCACTGACTGTCACTCATTGGGTTGCAAGGACGTCAATATTGGCAGCCAGGGCAGTAGCGATCAGATCGGTCGGGCAGTAAAATTTGCAGTCACCATGTGTTTTCATGTAGATGAACCTTTGCACAATAAGCCATAAGCATTCGATTTTGACAGACAATAACAATTAGGTCTGCTTTATTTTGAAATGGTATGATTGGGTAACAAAAATTCGAAATGCTCATTCTATATCATGAAGATGTGCTTGACTGCCCAGAGTTTGGCATAAGCATGGATGTTCTTGAAAGGAGCAACTACTTCACATGGAAGAAATTATTTAGTCGGCTTTTACTGGAATGAAACGTTTTTTCAAGGGAACCGGAGTGCTCAATAGCGAGTCTCATTTGTGAATTCTGGATGGGAATCCTCGAGAGGGAATGACGAAGCGCCGTGCTTTCTTGTCTTCAATTCCAACGGGCAGTGGTTTTGACAGGCCTCCTGCCACGCGATCGCGCCCGATTCCCGTGGTCAGTTTTCGCCATCAACACCGAATTCTGTACACTTTCTTGGTTTTCGTGGGCAGGTCCAAACATCTCGTAAATGTTGCACACAATCATTACGACTTTGTCTTTATTGGTGCGCTGTAAAATATAGCTGTTCATGTTTCCACGAGTCTTCTGCAGTTTCATTCGACACCCATCAATGTCAGGGTTCCAGTCAATAAGTGCGTGACACCTTGGATTAAACTTGGCTGGTTAAGCACCGTTGCATGCACGGGCGCAACGGTCTGTCATTTCATCGTCCTTGCTTCACGTCGACTTCTCCCCCGTCAACGTCTCGTGAGCACGCAGTCGCCATTTCCTCCGTGGGTCTCTCGTGGACCAAGGGTTTTGACATCATTGAGTAGCAACTCATTTAGTCTCTTATTTTCATCTCTACTTGTCAATTACCATAGCATCCTCCTCTCCGCCTTTTCCAAACCAGCCGCAGTTCATAAAGTTCACGTAGTGCTTATTAGGTTAGCTCACGATGACGCCTCCTAGGCATTCTACACGCCTCAAGACCCAAAAAGCCGTAGGTAATCAGACAGCCGTTACGCGAGGGAAACGATCAACCAGGGGCAAGCAGGATGCAAGCGATATTGTGCCGGCTCCGAGCCCAGAATTTAAGGTCCCGGTTATATTAGAAGGCGTAGATGTGCTGCCGGAGCCCGACGACATAATATCAAGGTTCGCGAAGGGTGTCAAAGTTCCTGACAGCGTGAACGATAAGCTTCCTAGGTCTGTTAAGAGTAACCATTTCCCAACTCATGAGTTAAAAAATCATCATGGCCAGAGAGCGAAGGTGACAATCATGGATGCCCTCCACATACAGGATGGTTACGAGCTATCGACCTCAATTATCGACTTTCACAACGTGTAAGTCCTGATACGCGTTTTACTAGTATTACGTACTCATCGCCTTCATTTTAATGGTCATTCGTGTTCGTATCGTTTCAGGGTGTTGAGCCTTCTTTACAAGGAGCTTCCAGACGGAAAAACGTGGTTGGCGCTTGACACGCTTGCCTTCCAAACCGTCACCGGGGGACAGGAGCTTGCATGCGGAGTCGACTGCAAAAATCTGTTCGAGCACAACTACGTTTGCATCGTGGTTTTCAACAAGTGAGGGAGACATTAAAATGGTTTAGGGTGGTTCACAGAGCTCTCGTTTAAGGTTCATTGATGTTTCGGACGGTTGTCTTCATGTCCTGACTTCCGCTCCATGGTTTCTCTACAGGGAACCAGTACATCATTTCAGCCTTGTGGTTGTTAGGGACCCCCGTCTGCTGCTCCTAAGTAACAAGGAATACCAAGCCACGGCGCCGGAATAAATATTTCTAGCAGTCCTTTACGACTCCGCACGTGTCCATTACGACCAGCGCGAAGCCGTGTTCACAAATATCAACACGTGAGTTTAGGCTGCGGCGGCATTTGTATGGGCCTTACTATCATCTTTTGTGCTCACGTGTAGACCTTGCGTTGAAAAAACCACTGTTCTTGATCCATCCGCAGGCTTCTTGGGCGGGCCCTTAAAAAGGCCTGCCCTGATCTGCCTTGGGAAGAAGTGACAGAGCGGCTCACACGCGTGCACAGCCGAGGCCTTCAAGTGAGTTTGTCAAATTTGTGTTTGATGTCACGCTGTCTGTAAGAAGCACAACACGATTTACCTGCTTCAAAGTGACTATGTTTATCTTTTTTTTTTATCTTGTGTTTAGCAGTACTTCAAAGTTCCCCAGCAACAGAATGACGTAGACTGCGGGATCTACGTCTGCATGTTCATCAAGGAGCTTGTATTCCGCTGCTTCCAATTCATGGAAGAAGGGATTCCGAAACTTCGTTACGGGGGCGCGCACTACAGGCGCGAAATCCGTGCTCTGATGTGCGAGGCCGGCGAAGGTACTCTGCTGGAATCGCTGAAACTGAAGGGGGCCGATATTTGTTGGATACAGTTGCAAGTTAGAAATGAGAAAGAGGGTTTTCACTAGCAAGCAGTTGAGTACATATAGGAAACCCTAGATTGGGCTGTACTCACTATTGAGTACCCCACTGCAAACTAGACAAATACAACATATTCTGACACACCCCCATAGCCAAAGTGGGGTGTAATCAGCACAAGCAAGTAAAGCAAAAACAAGCTCAGGCTGGATCACAATGTCACCACACATTCTGAGCACAAGTACAAGGCAACAAGGCCAGTTCACAGGCAGAGCAATAGTTCACAAATATAAGCAAAGCTAGAAACTATCACAGAGGGCAAGTGAGGAGGAGGAGGGAATATGAGAGGAGAGGAGGTAGGAGGAGACGGGTGAAGCTGCAGACACACGGGCAACAGGAGCGGCGCGCACTGTGGCTACCGGAGATTGTAGCCTCCGGACTACTGGAGTAACTGGCTCCGCGGCTAACTCTGAGCGGCAGGAGCAACGGACCCACGGGCGACTGGCGCAGCAGGCTCGCTGGGCTACCGGAGATTGTAGCCTCCGGACTACTGGCGCTGCTGGCGACACGACGGCTACCTCCGTCCAACCTCCCCAAACTGTCCCACCCCCCTTTCAGACACCCCCTGCGGCACCTCTAGCACTGCTTACATGCCACCCCCTTAGTACCTCTCCATCGTCTCCCACACACCCACCCCCCTCAGCGGCAGCTGCAGCAGTGGGAGACGGAGGAGGAGGAGGAGCAGGGGAGACCGCACATATCCTTCACCCCCATACTCACCACCCCCAAACCCCAACACAGGGTAGGGCCGCAGCAGGGGCGGCAGCAGGGCAGAGCCGGGCAGGGCAGGGCCGGGACAGGGCCGGGGCAGGACGGTAGGGCCGGGCAAAGCAGGGCCGGGACAGGACGGCAGGGCCGGGCAGGGCCGCGATGAAGACGGGAGGGGCCGACGCGCGGCCCCCTTCTGTCGCGCGGCCCCCCTCAGGGCGCCGCGACGGGCGACGGGAAAGGGGGGGGGGGGGGGGCGCGTGGCCCCCCAGGTCACCTCAACGTGCGTCGGGGGGGGCGACGCGCGGCCCCCCAGGTCACCTCGACGGGCGACGGGGGGGGCGACGGGGGGGGGGGCGACGCGCGGCGCCCCAGAGCGCCGGGACGGGCGACGAGGGGGGGCGATGCGCGGCCCCCCAGGGCGCCGCAACGGGCTACGGGAGGGGCGACGCGCGGCCCCCCAGGGCGCCTCGACGGGCGACGGGATGGGGGGGGGCGACGCGCGGGCCCCCAGGGCGCAGTGTGCGAAAGCAAACCGCCGCGCGCCTCGGGGCGCACGGCGGGCAGAAAACCGCCACGCGCTCCGAGCGCGTGGCGGGAAGAAAAAACGTCGCGCGCCACAGGGCGCGCGACAGACAGGACAGCAGCAGCGGAAGCATTGGGTGGGCCCATCCACAGGATCGACCCGTGAGGGTCAACCTGCTCTGATTCCATGTTGGAAACAGTTGCAAGTTAGAAATGAGAAAGAGGGTTTTCACTAGCAAGCAGTTGAGTACATATAGGAAACCCTAGATTGGGCTGTACTCACTATTGAGTACCCCACTGCAGGCTAGACAAATACAACATATTCTGACAATATTCCACCACAGAGTGAGCAGTAGCAGGAGGAAGAGGGTGAGAGCGACGACGTAGTTGAGGTCGACCTTGAGACCAAGGTTAAAGATCTATCGGCGGAGCAGGCTGTCCAAGCTGCCCAGATCAACAGCCTTTCTGAAGACATGGATAATCTAAAAGACTCGGTTTTTAAGGGTGGGGAGGGAATCATCAAACTGACGGTGTCTATGTCATCACTGTTTACCGCCTTTCAGCAGCTGGCTGCACATGCAGGGTTCAAGCTGCCGATGGCTGCCCTGGAGGGTTTGAACAGGCCTGAAGCCGGCGACTCCACCGCTGCTGTAGTTGCTCCTGGTACAACAAGAGGTGCTCTTCACACCTCTGCTGTTGCTCCGTCACTTGCGCGTAGACCACTTTTCGGCCAGATTCTAGGGTTCGTGCAAGCCCAGGGAGCCACATCCGGTGCACAGAGGTCTAGGGCGGGTGACACAGGTCCCGCAGCCGGCGCTTCATCCTCCGCGGCTGATCAGGCGGGTGCTGCAGCATGTGTTACTACAGCAGCAGCGGGTCAGCCAGGTGCCTCTGTCCGTGCTCCTCCTGCTGGAGCGGGTCAGCCAGGTGCCTATGCTGGTGCTCCACCACCTGGAGCGGTTCAGCCAGGCTCCTCTGCCGGTGCTCTTCCAGCTGGAGCGCGTCTGCCAGGTGCATCAGCCATCGTTTCACCAGCAGCCGCGGGTCAGCCAGGAGCAGTGGCCGTTATTCCAACAGCAGCAGCGGGTCACCCAAGTGCAGAAGCCGGTGTTTCAACAGCAGCAGCGGGTCAGCCAGTTGCAACAGCCGTTATTCCAACAGCAGCAGCGGGTCAGCCAAAGGCAGTAGCCGGTGTACCTACAGCAGCAGCGGGTCAGCCAGGTTCTGCAGGCGTTGCACTAACAGCAGCGGCGGCGCAGCCATGTGCTACCGCGGGTGCTCCAAAGGCGGCAGCGGGTCAGCACGGACCCGCCACGGGGGTTGCTATCAACGCAGGCGTGGTACAGCCTGGAGACGACTGCTGGGATATATTGGGACTGGGGTCGGATCTCACCAATTTTCCGCCATGTGTGCAGGTCCAGGATGCAACCGGGTCGCAAGCAGCGGATGACGCTTCGAGGACAGCTGTGCTTCACACAAGTTCAGCGGCATGGACATCAGGAGAACAGCTGTTTGTGCCCTCGAGTTTTCCACCCGGGATGCATCTCCAGGGGTTTTGTGCACCAGGAGCGGGGGTGTTTGCTCCACAGGCAGGTGGTGTTCAGCCTGGAGCATCTGCACTTGTCGCGCCAGCAGGGCCTAGTGGCCATGCTCTGCATCGTTCCAACTTGCTCTTCCACGGATCAGGACATCCAACCGTGTCTGTGCATCTGCCTTTGTCGTCGCACGGCCCCGGTGTGCAGGAATCACCTGCTTTCCTCTTTTCTGCTGAGGCGCTCGACACTAGCAGCATCCTACCTGGCCACACCTCCTCCGCTCCTCGTGGGACTCTACTGAACATGCCCTCGCAACAGGTTCTGCCCTCCCCAGCCGCCTCCTCATCCTTCATGCCATCGACCCAGGTTGGTGAGGAGGAGGAGGCCGCCAGCAAGCGGTTCACGGGAGTCACAAAGAAGAAGGGTAAGAACGAGTGGGTGGCTAGGATTGTCCTCGACCGCAATTTCAATTCTCTGATTGTCATCAGCAGTCACTTTCAATGTGAGGTCGCCGCGGCTAGGTCAATAGCCGCAGCGTCGCATGTGATGTTCGTCGACAATCCCACGAGAGGCGATCTCATACCCTTGACGGACGTCGACAGGGCAAGGTTACAGGGTTGTACGGCTCAGCAGTGTGAGCTGATGGTCCGTCAGAAGTTCTGGCACAAGTGGGAGCAGTGGGCGGAGTATTGGCCTGCTGTTAAGGCTAAGTATGACGAAAAAGAGCGCAAGGCTGCGATGAAGCGAGCCGCACTGGATAGGAGCTTGGGTCAGCCTGGCGGTCGGCCCGACAAAATGGCCAGAACGGTGGGTGAAGGCCTGTCACGAGGGGTGACAGGAGGTAACGATGAGTGTGTGGGATCTAAGGATGAATAGGCCAGCGGGCATGGGCATTAGGTGGTAGTTTTGAGGTACCGCCGATGTCTAAACATGCTACTTAGGGCTATGGTAGCGCACTGTGGATCATGTGTGGATATGACTACGTGCTTATTTAGTGTGTGCTTACGTTTGCACCATAATATCCATTCCATTTTGAACCAAAAAAATGACATACTATGGCCTCGTTAAGAAAGGGTCTATGAACTGTCAAGAAACACCGCATTTGCCAGTCAATGGCCCGTAACAATTCAGTTGGACGCGTGTCGATGCCTCGCGAAGGTATTGTAAAGGTTCCGTGTGCATCCCACTGCCTTTGAGTAAACGTCAAGTGCAGTTGGCAATCCACGATCACCTCGTGAAACATCCGTGAGTATTTCGTCGCTTCAACGTACGCTGGTTGTCTGACAAAACGGCCAGTTAACATCAAGTGAATGCATCGCAAAGAGTGCGTGGGGAATGATATGTAACAACGATGGCGTCACTTGACATTCACAAAACACCAACCGGAAATCCGCACGACAACGGTTAGCAATACGCGATCAGGTCGTGACACAGTCGTGACTATTCCGTCGCTTCCACGTAAGACACACATGGGGGATGGAGGACGACCTAATCCCCGTGCTATTCAACAATGTGCAGTCCGCGTACATCTACTCAGACAGTCGTGAATACTTCGTCGCTGCCTCGTCAGATGCTTGTTTGGGCTTGTGGGATCGTGAATAAAAAAGTGTGTTGCACATGATAACACAAACTTTGAATCGTGAATAAATAAAACCAGTATAACACTGTCTACCCCACCCACATAAATTGCCATGATAGACAGGCAGAGACTGGAAAGGAAATTATGGTCTCTTGGCGACAAAGGTGTGCATTAATACAATGCTGCGATCAGATGTTGATCGACCCTAGGATCACCATAGGAAGGTCTGCACACAGTTGGTATGTAGTATTGGGACTTGGTCTCAATTCAGAGTGGATGTAAAATGATTGAAATAAATAAATACATGGAAACACAGAAATATGAATTAGAGTACAACGGAAAACGAATCGACCTAGGATAGCCATGTACTCATGAGTGTTAAGGATAACGTCAAGAGGTTACGTAAATTTAAGGCTGAATTGTGACAGTGCAAACCAGACGGGAGCAATCGAAGCATGCTGGACACTGGGCAGCATATGACATGTATGTTGTGTAACGTGGGATTTACATTATTTTTTTATATAAACCTTATGCATTGTTTGTGTGAATGCCTTTGGATGTGTATACAAGTTTCGTCTACATAAAAATAGAAGTACGTACCTGCGCCCATATTGAAACGAATGTACAACTGTCGCCCCATGTTTGTGCCCGGACTACTTGGTGATCGTGACATCCACACTGAGCTTTTCTGCATTTCTTGTGGATTGCACATTTGTACCCCATCCACTTTATTGTGTGTTCATTCTGCTATGCATAACTGGTCTGGTAGAGTTGTTATTTCTTCATGCACACAATGATAGGGGCACATCCCCTGAGTCGTGGAACCGTTTGTTCCCTAGTCAATTCAGTTTGTGTGATATGTTTGTGTTTGCGATTTAGGGTTTCACGATTTAAAATGTTTGATTCCATTATTTGGAGTGTTCACCTCGTTGGATGTACTGTCGCGGATGTCACAGGGAAATCCTAGTGTGCATGAATCCGTCGATCTGGATGTCAGAAATTGACAGCTCTTCACGCATTCATCACGATTGAGCATCTGGACCTCGAACCAATCAGAGCATGACGCTTGGATCGTTGATGTAGAAGTGATGGTTCGAGGCCATTCAAGCGATTTCCATGTCCCGACACAACCCCCCCGTGAACATCTCGTCATTGGCCAACTGTCCCTGTGATGCTCGGTGCGTGCTTGTCAATCAGAGTTAGCAGTTATGCTCGTCCATCACAACCTCCAGCTCCCAAAGCTCAGTATATCTACAGGGCATAATTCCGTGAAGGCATTCAGGCACCCGGCGACATTCATGCGCTTGCATACTCCACAATATGCCGAAGAACGGAACCCGGAAAAGCAGTCGTCTCAGTGCGGCGAAACCTAGTCATGCTGCGGCGGCAGCGACGGCTTCTATGGTCAACGAGCAGCAGCCAACACAACACCAGCAAAACGGCCCTGATGTGCAACCAATTGGGGATGGAGGACCGGTGGTGACAGACATGGCCGCGGAACTGCGGAACCTCGGTGCCCGCCTCGGTGCTGTTAAATCAGACATGGCGAATGTGAAGCACGTACTTGGGAGGACTCACGACATATGTGACCGGATGGCCTCAACGGTTACGGCCATGTTTGGCAACTCGAAACAGTCAGCGGGTGGTTTGGGGATTTCGCGTAACGTGCCGGTTCCTTCTGAAAACTGTGCGGGTGACGCGATTGTTGAGACTACAATAGTTCGCCGCACCAAGAATAAGACTTCCAAAGCAGTGCGCAAAGAGATTAAGTCCGACTACGTGGGCGTCGCACAGAGGCCGTGGAGCGGCCGATGGGTTGCAAGACTTGTGTGCGTTCCAACAAAAAACGGGCATCTGGTCATCGGCAGTCAGTTTGGGACCGAGTTAGACGCGGCGAGATCACTGGCAGCACATGTGCTATTTGGTCCAGACGCCGGGCCAAGAGGGAAGATCGTACCACTCACAAATATAGACAAGGCGAAATTGAAGGGATGTGACAAGACCACTTGTTTGGCAATGATTCGTCACAAGTTTTGGCACAGGTGGGAGGACTGGGAGGATGCATGGGATGAGTGCGAAATCAAGATGGAAGAGAAGGAGCGCAGGGCTGCAAAGAGACTGGCCGCGGTAGAGAATGACTCATCTCGGATGGTCGGTCGACGTACTAGAAAGCGCAACGACGGGACACAAGAATAGTTGCCATTAATACTGGGTCGTTTATTTGTGATGTTGACAATAACTTTCTGAATGTTTATTCTCGCTCTGGCTTCGCGGGCCATCCACAAGGCCCAGGTTATTGACCAGCTATTCGCTCACGGGGTGTTGACGCTCGACAGTTCTACACGAGCGCCAAACCCTTGGTTCTACACGAGCGCATGTTCTAGCCAATGGCGTGCCATTGACTGGGAGTTCACGGGTTAGTGACGGAGTAGATCGTTCTGTGCACGCCAAATCGGACCGTCGTGAAGCACTCTGTTACACTTCACGGACATTCCACTGGGCTTCCACAAGCCATCTACAACGATCGAATATAATGCGACGACGTAATTTGCCACCGGCTATCCAACCGCTAGAAATGTTACGGTGTGTTCACGGGCCATTCGCGAGGGCCTGGTAAATGATCATGCATGGTCTCGACCGTGGCGATTCAGTGGCGTTGCATTCCCAACGAGTTCACGGGACCCTGGACTTTGACGTGAACGTTTGTTCACGGGATATTGACAAATTGGTGACCGGAATTTTTACCCTGCTCCTAACGATCGGCACACGGCGCTTCCAGTGTTGGTCCCTAAACCCGTCACGGGGTCTTCACGCTAGGTTGACGTGCTCGTCAGCCTCAACCTGCACTCTACTGGATTTTATTGTGTATATCAATCATGCTAATACAAACATAAACCTATGAACCCAGTATCAGTTATCCAACAATAAATGTTGTGCAGTAGCCAAAAGGTTTGAGAACACCTACTACAGAGACTACTCTAACTCGTTGAAACGCTACTGTAGCTATATAAACCCTGGAATGTTCAAATCACGCCCGCGCCAGGTGCAGCCTCCCGATAGGGTTTTCGTGACTTTGGGTGCTTACGGTACCTCCTCTTCTGCGGAACAGCGCTGCCACCGTACTTCCCCATGCAACGGTTCTTGTTGTGACCGTGCATCTTGCAAACGCTGCACTTTTATGGATGCACGGCCTACTCTGCGCGAGCGTAGCTCGGCGGGCGGCCGGCAGCGGTGCGGCGAAAGGGCGGAGCATCGCACACGCCTGGGGGGGGCAGCCTCTTCTCAAGAATGATGCGGTCCACACAGGACCCCCGCACCGTTGAAGAGTACGTCTCTGCCCAATTCTTTGTGGTGTAGAAATCAGAGACGAGAGTGCGGGGGTCTAGCTTCCGCTTCACAGCAAAGGCCACAGCATGGGAGCACGGAAACTGGTATTGGTCCCAGTTTGTGCAGTCGCATGTCTTCGCCGCCAAGTTGACGTTGAAGGACCTCCATTCTTTGGGATCATCGGTGTCCCTGGTCTGGATGGTTCCTTCTACATGGTCCCCGCCCAACAGCTCGTACCCCTCCGCCCGTGTCTCCTTCTCCACCATCCGCTCCTCGGCTGCCTCTGTCAGGAGATCAGTTCGCTCGAGCGCCTCCATCTTACGTTCACAATACCTATTGCGATACCAGTCCATGAGACCCCCTAGCATCGGGGTCACCGGCAAGCGCCGAATGGGCACGATGGAGCTGTTGACCTGCTCAGCCGCGTTGCTGGTGAAGATCCCGAAGCGTCGAGTAGGGGCCTTAAGGCGAGTCCAGTGGACAAGGTTGATGCCCAACTTCTTCCTTGTACCACGCTTGTTCTGCCTAAACCCGGTCCGCACGTGTATGGTGTGGTCCCCATCCGCGACACCGGAGTCTGGAGTGTTGTCATCGTCGTCCACGCCAGCCTCTGCCTGCACCCCCTCTACTGTGGTAGGTGCTTCCGCATCTTCTGCATCTGCCTCCTCTGCAGATGCATCCTCCTCATCGTCCTCTTCAGCATCGGCCGCTGTGTTAACCCCGGGGTTGGCACTGCCGACGTCTGGCCACGGGTGATCCAAAGAGACCAGGACCAATGCCTGGCAGGTGCTTCCCCCGTTGGGTTCCTCTGCATCCTCAGCCGGGTTTCCGTTCGATCCAGTTGCACGTGGCAGGCCCGTACAGATGGAGCTGGGGAAGTAACCTGTCCTTACACGTCTCTGGATGCGTGCATAATCGAAAGGTAGTGCAGTTGCAGGCGTCGATCCAGACGGACGAGCTGGCGGCGAGT